CCCCCCTCGAAGTTACAAAAGCACGATCCAGGATGAAGCAATCGCCCAGGGCCTTGATGTGCCAAGGTTAGAGGCAGTGGCCTGGACAAACAAGCGTAGCATCGACTGCTCTCTGCCTCGTGTACCTGGCGGGATAGGGAGAGAGTGAATAAGGAGATGGCACCGCCCAGATGTGTCTATGAACAGAAAAATAAAACGGTCTCCCCCGAATTCCAAACATACACAAGTTTTCACTCAAGTTAAAACATATGTTTTGAATTGCAGGTTAAACCTTGGCGAGAGTGCGTTTTCTGTCCAGTTATTCTAATGACGCATGGCGTCAAGGTAGGCATACTATCGGCATAACCTAGTTACGTTGTCGGTAGGATGAAGTTTGAACGATCATAACAGTTACTAAGAAATAGGAGAAGAGAAAAAACTGCTGGGATCACGCAACAACAACAAAAACATTGCATTGTAATAGTGAGTTACATTTGAATTGTTTTGCAACTTCTAAGGAAACTAACTCGAAGGTCGAGTAGCAGGAAATCTTGCATGGGGTAACTGTAAGGGTACATTTGTGTTTACGGAGTGTGCTAGTTTTAGAAGCACTTGCATTTGTGTGGCTAAATGTGAGTTAATTTCTCCGGCTCTCTGTACAGCGGTACCTTGGTTTTCTTTCTTTTTTTTAAAACCTTGATTGCTAGTCTTATCTCTTTAAAAATACCTACACAGTTGGACGGTATTGTAACGTAGCTTTGTTTAAAACCCATAGCCTTCCATTAAATATCTCTATCGGTGGAAATGAACTAATTCGCCCTTATGTGAGAGGTGTAACTCTAATAAAATTTAAGATGAATTTCACTTTATTTTCTATTGTTCACACTTTATCCATCAAAGGAAATTGTTAATCCCTCCCAGCCTGAATCATCCCAGTGACAGAAATATGCAATGTTTGACCCATGATAAGAGGTATGTGCACAACCTGTACTTTTTCATTAAGGAAACTTTACTTATCAAATGGGTGTTTTATGTGGTGTGATATGGGCTAATGGCCTTAAACACAGAATAAACTTACTTTAAAATTACTTACTTACTTACTAACTTACACAGTTGAAGTGTTGGATAAGGAGGCCATACTTGCAGCATAAAATTTAAAAACATGTTTTCAACATGCTCAACGTTTCGTGTGCTCTGCAGCTTGACCAACGCTATCACAAACACTGTGAGAAAATGATTTGTTGGGTGTTACCATGGGGATTAGAATTTGAGTAACGAGAAGAAAATTAGAGCAGTTGTAACAGTTAGAGCGGAAGAGAAAAAGCACACCACAGCCAGGCGTGCACCTGCCGACCTCTCTCCTCGGCGTAAAACAACACGTGGCATCTACTCAGATATCACAGCGCTGTTCTGTGGGCAGTAAAGAGAGGAAGTCGCTGCACGGGTGGTCGCCCGTCTCTTCTACTTCTTCGTCTCCTTTTCCGATGTTAATGTCGCTCCGGTTAGCCTCTTGGCACATGTATGCATCCTTAAAATAAGGGTACGCGAAAGAACATTCAAACGAACAATGGAGCAACATTGAGTAATAATTTCAAATAC